GTTCAGAGTGCCGGTTCCTCTTCGATACTGCTCGACATGGAATATAAATTCATTTTCATACTTGGAAAATGGACGGCCAGAGCCGGCATCAAGCTGGACGAATGAAATGATATAAAGACTATATACACAATTTTTTTCATCTCATTATTGCGACGTATAAGGGCCTGCTCCAAGGTTCAGAGTGCCGGATCCTTTTCGATACTGCTCGAAATGGAATATAAAATCATTTTCATACTTCAAAAATGGGCGGCCAGAGCCGGCATCAAGCTGGACGAATAAAATTATATAAATACTATATACATGATTTTTTCATCTCATTATTGCGACGTATAAGGGCCAGCTCCAAGGTTCAGAGTGCCGGTTCCTCTTCGATACTGCTCGACATGGAATATAAATTCATTTTCATACTTGGAAAATGGACGGCCAGAGCCGGCATCAAGCTGGACGAATAAAATTATATAAATACTATATACATGATTTTTTCATCTCATTATTGCGACGTATAAGGGCCAGCTCCAAGGTTCAGAGTGCCGGTTCCTCTTCGATACTGCTCGACATGAGATATAAAATCATTTTCATACTCGTAAAGAAGGGCGGCCAAGGCCGGCATCAACCTAGACAAAAGAAGAAATATGAGGACAATGTAGACAATTTTCTCGCCATTTTTCAAGTATGAAAATGATTTTATATTTCATGTCGAGCAGTATCGGAGAGAAACCGGCACTCTGAACCTTGGAGCTAGCCCTCATACGTCGCAATAATGGGATGAAAAAAAAATTGTGTATATAGTCTTTATATCATTTTATTCGTGCAAGTTGATGCCGGCTCTGGCCGTCCATTTTTCAAATATAATAATGATTATATATTTCATGTCAAGCAGTATCGAGGAGGAACCTGCACTCTGAACCTTGGAGCCGGCCCTTATACGTCGCAATGAGGAGATGAAAAAATTGTGTATATAGTATTTATATCATTTTATTCGTTCAGCGTGATGCCGGCTCTGGCCGTCCATTTTTCAAGTATAAAAATTATTTTATATTCCATGTCGATCAGTATCGAAGAGGAACCGGCTATCTGAACCTTGGAGCTAGCCCTCATACATCGCAATAATGGGATGAAAAAAATTGTGTATATAGTCTTTATATCATTTTATTCGTGCAAGTTGATGCTGGCTCTGGCCATCCATTTTCTGAGTATGAAAATGATTTTATATTTCATGTCGAGCAGTATCGAAAAGGATCCGGCTCTCTGAACCTTGGAGCTGGCCCTTATACGTCGCAATAATGAGATGAAAACAATTGTGTATATAGTCTTTATATCATTCCATTCGTCCAGCTTGATGCCGGCTCTGGCCGTCCATTTTCCAAGTATGAAAATGAATTTATATTCCATGTCGAGCAGTATCGAAGAGGAACCGGCACTCTGAACTTGGAGCTGGCCCTTATACGTCGCAATAATGAGATGAAAAAAATTGTGTATTTAGTCTTCAAGTCATTGCATTCGTCCAGCTTGATGCCGGCTCTGGCCGTCCATTTTTCAAGTAAGAAAATGATTTTAAATTTCATGTCGAGCAGTATCGAAGAGAAATCCTTAACCTTGGAGCGGGCCCTCATACGTCGAAATAATGAGACAGAAAAGTTGTCTACATTGTGTTTGTATTCCTTTATTCGTCTAGCTTGATGAAGGCGTTGGACGCCTTATTTTACCAATCAGGTAATCCTTGTAGTCAATACGGCATGCTGATTTTTTTGTCAAAATCCACAAATCACTCCGTATGTCAGTAACGAAGCGGTTTTGGACATTTGTAAATGGCATTTATTGACAGGTCCTATATCCTCATAACTCTGTATATCCTTTTATTCGTTCTGATAATGAAAACTTCATTGTGCGGTCTGAAAATGATCGGCCTCCTAACACCTTAGAGCTGGTCTTCATGCTGATAGTGATCGCCCACTTTTTTCTAAAGAAAAATATCATATCTCGAGTGGTATAAAAATCGTCAATTCAGTATTTGGAATCATGAACCTGGAATGGGAAGACGAAAATAATGAGTCCTGTAGTCTTTTTGCCAATTTCAGATATTGTTCCGAGTTTGAGTTCCATCAAAAATTATATTTCAATCAATCTGAGTAATTCAAATTTCATCAATTGAACCACATGGATCGCTCAGTTATATCCATTTTCCTGTGAAAAATGAATCATAAAGTAATCAAACATCCGAAAAGATACCATAAACGTGTGAATCGAAATCTGTGGAATTGATTGACCGTGGTGGAAAAAAGCGGCGTGGAGCTGGCCGGCCGGGAGCTAACATGACCGAGGTCAGAGAAGAGCAATTGGGTGGGTGATGTCAGGATGTCACACTCACTAGTTGCTTGACTTCATTGGAACACCGCAGAAAAGTTGGCGACCTTTCATTCATCTACAGGATGTACCTGAAAGGTCTGTACAAAATCTTAGCGCATATTCTTGAGGTCAAAATAAACCAATTCGAAGCAAAACTTACCTCAGTAACGTCTGAAATCGCTCCGTGTCCGAGATACAGGGTGGTAAAGTTGAAAAATGGAAATATGGCACGTATCTACACTCCAAAAAAGTATTTTAGGAAATCCATTCTGAGCTGCAAATCTACGGACGAAATGACATCCACAATGATAACAGCAAACAGTTTTTTTCTGCAACCGACACAGAAATCGTCCGTTTTAAGCCATTATTAGCTCTTGAATTGACATTTCTATTACTGTCACAAACATAGGAGAGTTGCTAGGCAACACTTTTAGTTCCTTGGAGCTAAAGTTGCACTATAGCTGCTAGGAACTAGAAGGGATGTACCCAATACAGGGTGGGAGTACATTAAATATTGCTCAACATTTTTTTATGCATATTTGTCGAAAATTTAATCCTGGATTATGAAATTTCCCACCTTTTTACAGAAAAATGGTACTCTTGTTCCGTGACGATCAGATATATTATCATCGAGTAAAAGCAATTTAAGAATATTGTTACATCTCAGATATTATGCATAACATTGCAATGAGGCGTAGTGGAAATGGAAAAAAATGCACAAAAATTGTAGTTTTTTCATCATCGTTTTCCTATTTTTCGCGCTTTTGTGATATCGTTTGGTTGAAATAAAGTACTTCATTTTTTTATAGCCACTATGATTTGTAAATTGGCAACATTATGAATAAGATGTGAGTGCATCAATATTTTTAAATCGATTTCACTCAAAAATGAGACATCTGATGGATGCGGAACATGAGTTTGGAATTATTTTATGTTCACCACATTGGGCATGGAAAAATCATTTCTTTAACCAAAGTGCATCATTTTATCACGTGGCGTTTCGGAAATATTCAAGAAATCATCTTCAGGAGCCTCTTTTCAGGAGACATTTCTCAACTCATGTTCATTGGAAGTTTTCTTCCTATTTTTGGTCGAAGAAGCCGCTGGTGAAGTTTGGCAGGCTAATTTCGGGACACCCTGTATATCGATAAGCCAAGATCCGTTGACCAGCTAGACTTCTATTCTGGTGTAATCTAGAGATCTAAACTGAAGTTGAAACCACCAGAAAATCACTATATTTGCAAAGACTATCGCCTGCGGCGCATTTTTTCTTTCGATTCCGTCAGGTTTGGTGTTTTTTTTGGTGTTTTTCAGGTGTTCGCTCTGCGACTTTTGTAAATCTGAGTTGGCAACACTAGTCTAACATCGCAGGCCTATTCAGTAAAAAGTCGTTATTTCACGAGTCGTTAGATAACAACTATCGTTATCCTAATATGGAACGACTTGATGAAAAAATGCATTCTGTAAGATATGTCGTTGAAATATTCGAAAATTAACAAGAAGTATATATTTTCAGAATAGATAGTATGACATAATGTGACATTATTTGTCTTAAATTGACAAATCGTTATCTTACCTTATATATATCATAATATAATATATCAGAGATCTTCTACCGAGTCTTCTACTATAATGATTGGGGAAAATAATGTTTCTAAGAAAAGTAGGATTACTCACAGTCACCGGAGTGCTAAAATATTCAAACAGTGATTCGTTATTATTTGAATACTCGTGAAGGAACTGCAGGAAAATAAATACTTTCCATCGAATCAATATGAACCCACAAACCCCAATATCCTGGAAGAAACTTGGAGTGGTTTGGTTCTATAATTGAATAGTTCCAGAAGCCCAATGAGGGATGAATAGCAATGGAGAACAGTACCTACGTATTATTTTTATATGGGTTTTGAAAAAAAATTGAATAAGAGATAATTTAGAGTTTTGAACTTGAATCATACCCATTTTTAACATATATAATATCTTGAAGATTTGGTACAGTGAGGTAATTGTCTACAAGTATGTCTGATATTTCATAGATACATCTGCTTGGGACATAGCTCATGATTTGTCTCTTTCTATAGATTTTTGGTAACAACAGATAGGTACATCAGTACGTAGGTACTTTCCGATTATATTTTCAACAACTGATGGTATATACTAGTATTCCTACTGGCCTCCTTGGGATGCTGCAACATATTATGAGATCATACCCCCCAAAATATAGCTCTCTGGGTAATCGACAATTCTCCCGAAAGTTCATTTTTTTCGTGTTCATGTGTCCAGTGACTCTAATGTTATCCTACCGATACTCTGAATAGCTGTCGTCTATAAACGATGTTCTGATGACAGCTTGTCGTTCGTTACCGACTGTCAAATCGGTACTGAATTCGATTCAAGAAAATTATCGTTATTAAACGATATAACATTCACTCGACACGTTAATATAACGTTATGAGATACTGGATAGGCCTGTAGACGCCGAACTCTCAGCTTCCGCTGCAACCTGCAGCCGTCGAGACGGTGCAGCCGGTGCAGCGCAGCCCTGCGTGCTTGGGGCAGGTGCACTCACCTGTCGGAGCGTGCCCACCCTGCCCCCCTTCCCCCCCTGTGGCCCCCCCTATCCTCCTATCCGCGGACGGCGTGCTGCGACAACCAGTCGCATGGTGGCCGTTCGCGAAGCACTGTCCGTCTGGGTGTCCTCTCCATAGGTATTGATACGTGAAGAAGACACCTGGTGCACTCTAAGAAAAAGAGTTTTTTTTTAAGTCACCTTCAACGAACTTGGTATTATTTTTTCGGGAAGTTTTGGGGCGATCGCTTCTGGAGGTGGTGAACTCGTAGTGGAAGCTGGTAGTTTACTTCCTGGTCACAGATTATTAGAATTCATCTTCCTTTCGGTGAGTTCCTGGTGTTGTTAATAATGCTAGATTTTTTTTACTGCTTCTACAATACTTCCTGAATTAGTTGGTACCGATATTAAATTGATTATTCCCAATTATTCTCAATTCAAAATTAAAGTTGCAATAGGTTGGAGGTCCTCACCGTAGGTACCGATTTGAAATTGTTCATTCCCAATTATTCTCAATTCAAAATTATAGTCGAAATAGTTTGGATGTCCTCACCGGGAGTACTATAAGTATACGTGCCAAAAACACCTGGTGAACTCATCAAAGTCGAGTTCAAAATTGGTGAATGATTTATACTTTCAATTTGAAGATGAAAATGTGTATAGACCCAAGACCTGAGAATCAAGAATCACATTCACTCCAAAACATTTTGGATATCCTCACCATGAGAGTATACGTGAAGAAAACATCTAGTGCACTTTTTGGAGAAGAGTTTTTTTTAAACTCTCGTCTACGTAGCTCAATTTTTTCTCCGGGAAGTTTTGCAACTTTTGGGACACTCATCGCTTCTGGAGGTGGTGAAACTCGTAGTGGAAGCTGGAAGTTTATTTTCTGGTCACAGATTGTTAAAATTCATCTTTATTTGGTGAGTTCCTGGAGTTGTTGATAATGCTAGAATTTTTTTTGAAATTAAAGTAGAAATTGTTTGGATGTCCTCGCCGGGAGTACTATAAGTATACGTGCCAAAGGCACCTGGTGTACTCATCAAAGTCGAGTTCAAAATTGGTGAATGATTACTTTCAATTTGAAGATGAAAATGTGTATAGACCCAAGTCCTAGGAATCAAGAATCACATTCATTACAAAAGATTTTGGATATCCTCACCATGAGTATACGTGAAGAAGACACCTGGTGCACTCTAAGAAAAAGAGTTTTTTTTAACTCTCGTTCACCTAACTCGGTATTATTTTTTGGGAAGTTTTGGGACTCTGGCATCTGGAGGAAGTGGAGCTCCTAGTGGAAGCTATACGTTCCTATGCTGCTTGCAGATTGTAAGAATTGTGTTTCATTCGATGTGTTCCTAGTGTGGTTAATACTGCTTGACTTTTTTCGACTGCTTCAACTCCATGCACTTCCTAAATTATTTGATATCGATAAATTGGAAGTGAAAAATGTGTAGACCCTGGAACTAGGATTCTAAAATCATATTCATTCCGAAATATTTTGGATGTCCTCACCATATAGGTATACTTGCAATTGACGTCTGGTGGTTGTTTGTTTTTCATCTCTCGTCCACGTAGCTCAGATTTTTTTCCGGGAAGCTTTGTAACTCTCGCTTCTGGAATTGGTGAAGCTATCCTCGTGGAAGCTGGAAGTATCTTTGCTGTATGCAGATTTTCAGAATTAATTTACATTCGGTGAGTTCCTATAGAGTTGTTAATAATGCTAGAATTTTTTCGGCTGCTTCAACACCACTTCCTGAATTATTTGATATTGATAATTCGAAGTTTAAAAATATATGATTACTCTCAACTTGAAGTAGAATCAACTCTAGACCTAGGATTCTAAATATTAGGTACATTAATTCCAAAATTTTGTGGATGTCTTCGCCATAGGTATACATGCAAAAGAAGTCGAGGTATTTTTCAACTCTCGTCCACATATCTCAGATTTTTCTTCGGGGGACACTCGAAAGGAGTTTCTTCTGGAGGTGGTTTAAATCGTAGTGGAAGCTGGAAGTTCTTCTTTCGCCTGCTGAATTGTTAGGTACCGATTTGTAATTGATTATTGATTACTCTCAATTCGAAATCGAAAGATCCTAGATCTAGGAATCGAAAATCACATAGTCTTTTCAAAATATTCAGATAATTTATATGCAAAGACACCTGGTGGTTCTCCTGAGAGTCTTTTGCCCTGATCGCAGATCGATCGAATTCTTATGAGATTGTAATGTCTTGGAGACAATAAAACTGAATTGAATTGAATTAATCATCATTTGGTGAGTTCCTGGTGTTTCTGCTCAAAGCAGCATTTCACTTTTTACACATTCTCATCCTATAAAACTGCAATATTTCTGATACTACAATTATTATTGGTTATTTATTTCAGGACCAAACAGAATGTCAAAAATGTCACAAAATGTAATATCGACTAGACTACATTGAACTAAGTCGGTCCTTTTTGTAGATGGTTGATATAGGTACACAGGGTGGCTCAAAAAAGATGCAACCATCAATTTCATATTTTACTAGAAGAAATAAATGATGGTCGATTCAATTTTCGCATTTGAATGCAATTTCCAATTTCATGCATCGAATTCTGACGACTATCTCTCATGTACCATGTTCTATACCCAAACTATGTTTAAATAATTATCGGACGATGAACAATTAATTATTGAAAATATCAGTAACTGAGACCAATTTATTGCAAGAACAGAACAAGAAATCAATTCAAATTTTCGAAGCATTGAAAACAACGCAACCAAAAATCAAAATTCGTGTCCGAGCGTTTTCCTGTAAACATTTTGTGACATTTTTTGAAGTTTTTCAGGAAAAAATATTCATCTGATAGGAGGAATTCTAAATGAGTGCTTTCGCCAAAAATTAAAAAAATATGAGTATTATTTAATTCAATTTTTACTTGTAGAGAGGACAATTTAGATTATTATTATTGCATTTATAAAACATCCTGTAGAGTTCAAAACAATGTTGATTCGTGAACCTCACGATATTGTGCTGCAACCCCAACAAGATGTTGTCTATCTCTCATTAAAATGGAGCTTTTCCACACTACGATGACACCCGGTATATAAAAATGATAAATTTAGTAGTCAAAATAACAATTACCATGAATTCATAGCAGGACGGACTTTCATGAAACTATTTATAAACATCATAGAACATGAATCATAACTAACCTAGCCTACTTGGATTTTTGTGAGCACTGCGTAGGTGTTGTATGTAATAAAATTCCATAGATATCAAAATTCAATAACATTTTTTCGTAATTGCGCAACATCAAACCAAATCATATTCATTTCAAGGTAGTCTCGATCTATGAATTTGGAGAACTCTGGAAAACCTCCGTATTTTCCGAGGTATTTTCCTTCTCACCGTTTAAAATCAGTGATCGTTCAGCATTAGCTGAATTTCAGTAAGTTTTCATAGTTTCATGAATAAATTGGAAACTTGGTAGAAAATATACATATATTTCAATTCTATTCGGGGAATTTATCCAGCTCTTCAGAATACGTTAATCTTCATGATGAATTCTGAGAAAACTAAATAAATTTTAAGGGAATTTGCATTTTCCACGAATACATCTCCCATTTCATATCCAGGACACTAAGTTTCAATTTGAATAATACATAGTTTTGTTCGATTCTCGTAGTACCTATATCCCAAAATTTCAAATATAAAATATAAAAATGATGTAGAAATATCTGCTGCTTTAGGTAATAGGTATAAGTAGGTACTTATTACTTGAGAATAAGAGTTTTCTGAGACCGGCAATCACGAATTTCGAGTAGAATCAAGAAATTCAAGATGGCACATCCAAGATGACACCTCCAAGATGGCAGCTCTAAGATGACAGACCATTGTTTCATGCCTCGTCCGAGTCTCTTGAATATGAACAACTATAAGGAGTTTCCAATTCGGGGATTATGAATTTAAAGTCTCAAACAGGAGATTCAAGATGGCACCTCCAAGATGGCGCCTCCAAGATGGCAGCTCCAAGATGACAGACCATTGTTTCATGCCTCGTCCGAGTCTCTTGAATATGAACAACTATAAAGAGTTTCCAATTCGGGAATTATGAATTTGAAGTCTCAAACAGGAAATTCAAGATGGCACCTCCAAGATGGCGGATCCAAGATGGCAGTCAATTTGGTATTTCTTGCACGAGTCTCTTGGAAATGGACGAATCTCACTTCGAAATAAGATCGTATACGTCCGAAATGGTGGAAGATTTTGCTATTTCTTGTTTGGATCTTTCGAAAATAGACAAATAGGTGTTTTCAGAATTGAGAAAATCTAAAATTTTGCGACTAGAGCGCATATACTATACAGGGTGAGCAAGACTTTTTTCTCCATCATCTGAAATAACACATGGGCTTGAATTAAACCCAGAAGGTGAAGATCTTGTCTTGTATGATAATGCAGTTTGGGTATATTTTGCAGAGAAATGTAACGTATGACGAAATAAAATCGATTATCGTATACAAACTGGCGCCAATGGTGGGACAGCAGTGTCAAATCGGAATGCAAATATGCCAATAAAGTCTTGAAATTATGTCGACCATACCCATAAGTTTCTGGTCTGCAAGTCAAGTGTGTCGAGTTGCGTTTTTTTGCTACGAGAATACGAGAAAGTCTCGTTTTGTGCTATCTCCGAACGAGAAGTGGTAGGTATATCGTGTGCGATATGCCCATCTCCATATGGTAGGCATACAATCTAAAAGTGCAGTCGTCCTCTGGCAAAATTAAGACGCGCTCTTCCGAGTTATTATCAGCCATGCGAAATAATCAAAATAAGACATTTTTCCAGATTTCCAAAATAATTCTTGGACATCGTTCTAGTGAAGGTCTTATTAACGTTCCAGAGGACATCCTCTGGACATTCCAGAGAACGTTTCCGAGGATGTCCTATGCATGATCTCGGTACAAAAGGACGTTCATTGGATGATTTCCCAAAGAGCTCCAATGTATATTTTTGAGGGATATCCTTTTTTGGTGAGAAGTCGAAACATTTGTTCTTCCCACGGACGTACTATGGATTTCTGCGGTACCAAGAACGCATGTCTCATGGATGTCCCGAATGTTCCGGTGGGACGTCCTATGGACATCCATGTGACTTCAGTGTGCTATTAGGGACATACATACAGGTGAAGCTAAGGAAAGGGTGTTGAAAACAAATGATTCTGAGTCTGAGTCTCCTGCAATTACTCGTGAAAAACTGCCACTTCATACACTCGTCCTATCAATTACTGCTTTTTTATGTTGATTTTAAGAGACCATTATAGACATTTTGGAACCATTTGTCATGCATGCTGATGTTCAAATGGGGTCTGGCAACACCGCATGTACGGTGACAATATCTCGATGAGATTGGAGATGGGATCTACAATCCTTTTATTGATCATTAAAAAAAATTACGTGAGGTGCAGCCCACTTCCGAGTATTGAGTAGATGATGTCATCACATAAAATTTCATATACCTGCAAGTGATAATCAGTTTTTTTATTACTTCGGAACAGATTCTCCGCAACTGCTATTTTAAGAAATAATTGCCGGCGAGAAAAAAAAAAGAAAAAAAAAACAAGATTGATGAGATTGGTCGAAATTTCGAAGAAAACATCTGACGCCATCCATAACTTGTCTCATTCTTCGCATACCAAGCATTCACTTCCCCATTTACTTAATATCTTGTTTATAACGTTTTCAAGATTTGTTTGATGTCTCCCAGAGTTCACAATTATTTTTGAAGGTGGAATTATTTTCGACTAATGAAACGTAAATTTACTGCTCAATTATCAAAATAGTGTGAAAAAACAGATTTGTATTAATTTTTATACGAACAAAATTTTTAATGATATTGGTTTAACTTGGACTGCAAATGAAAAAAATTGTGTATTATAGTCTCCCATTTGAGAAAGTGTGAAGTTGAAAAATATGTCAAGATGGTAGAAAAAGAATGACTGCAGAAACATTGACTTACACACCTCAATTTGGAAATAATGATCGAAAATACCTCAAAAAATTGTCAAACCAATCAATTATTGGCCTTGATTTTCCCATAGACAGATGATAAAAAAAGATTGACTGTATACATTGACTTACATACCTTGAGAGGGAACCAATTTGGAAAATTCGAATGAAAAAATCGAATTTTCAAACCAATCAATTCTTCAACTCGTATGCTTATTCATTTCAACCAATTTTGGTGAATCAACCTACTGATCAAAACATAATAGGATATTATAGTTCATTCTCGACTTTTCCGAGTAACCAGCACTTCCAAATATTTCTTATACTCCATAACAAAATATCATGTAAATGTTGGAGACTTGGCAACATTGTGCTAAATGCTGAGAACTGACAAGACCGCGCCCACAATTCGTGCAATTCGTGTGCCGTGTTGTCACGTTAATATAATTAGTCAGTCAGTTTTTAATCGCGGGAAATTACCAGCGCCGTGATATTATTGATGATTTTAGTACCTTAAAATCGACCGTAAAATTCTAAAAAAAATATGAAATTGGAAGGTATTTGAGTGATGATTCTATTTAACAAACTCGCCTATTCCGAAAAGTTGTAATCTTCCTGGTTTTTCAGATTCCCTATTCCTGTATAAACCGAAAACGGCGAGAATGTGATTTCGAAACTGATAAGGGCGACTGCCCATCACATGTTCTTCTGACCGTCCCATCGAAATGAATGCTGCAATCGCCATCAACTTTCGATTGCTGCTAGTAGCTCACGTGATCTCTTTGTTTCATCAATCTCTCGGTAAGTGTTTTTTTTTGTAAAAGCTGATCATCCTCAGAAAACATTCTAAACTATCATTGCATTATACGAAACAAAATATATGGAGCAGGCCCCGTAAGTACTTCTTCAATCAATACACGTGTCCAATCAACCGCGATAAGTTTTTTGATATTTATATCATTATGATAATTAATAGTTGATTTTTAAGGTGCGAATCTCTGCCTTATTATTTATTGTCGTCGTTCAATCATCGAATAATCATACGAATACAACTCTTGATACTATGTTACCTGTTAATTTTCGTCAATTGACATTCTCCAGCTTGCTGCTTCAATTTCGCTAACGAAATTGTTCCAAAACTACCCGCCTACGGCTCGATAGTTTTGATAAACAATTTAGTTTACGGAATTACTAGGGAACTAGACAATACTTGTGGTATTACATGATGATAAAACTGTATATTCCACGTTTGCTTTGGTAGATCAATATAACGACGATTCCTCGTATGGGCCAACAATTATGGATTGGTCCTCGTATGTCGGTATAATTAAAAAATGTTTGCGCTACTATGTCGTCGAGCAACATTGTAATTCAAGTGATTACAGGTGCTTGATGATTTATTTCTAGGTATAGTATAGTTGGTAACCTTCCAAAACAGATTGGATGTAGATCTAGAAATTAAGAAATAGAGGAGACGTGACTGATTAAGTATGATTGAGTGCAAGCATAATGTAATGCATAAATTTATGGATCGAGAACCAGATAAATAATGAAAAAGTATACAGGGTGTCACGAAATTACCGTGCAATATTTCAACAGCAAGAAAAATGTAATCTTTTAACGGGATTACAAAAATTCTTGAACAAGACCACTACGCAAATAATACATATATATCGGCCTAGTAACGTTGATAACTATTATATGCCAATGAAATCTCGGTTTTGCTAACAATGTTCACTGACGTCTTCAATATCATTTCACCGAAAAACAATAATAATTTATTATTGTCAAGTACCGTACACCACATTTTGGTAAACTAATGTTACAATTGCTGGTGAATACTTTTACAAGAGAGAAACTATCAATATATTCAAGACTATGTTCATGTGTTTATGGAACGCCGTTTTACTTTTTATTACCAATTCGTTGTAAATTATAAATCAAACATTTAAAATGTTTCATATTTATTCCCGGTGCAATTAAAACTATTGTTGATTTAATATTGTTCATTATTTTGTTAGATGCACACAAGAGTTGCAAGAGTTGCATTGGTTTATAAATAATTTCCACCAAACATTTAAATACCTATAATTCTGAGGACCACCATCAAAATAGCATCAATCATAATAATTCATGTAACATTTGTATTCATCAATCGAAAAAATTTGTTTTCAGAATTAAAATGATTGTTGAATTTAATTGTTTGACACTTTATATGTTGTCCACAAAAAATGTTACTCGTTTGTCGTTTATATTTCAGTCACGAATAAAATTGTTTGATGATTTTTTACAACAATCGTTTCAAATCGTTCATTTATTTAAAACGATTGTTGCAAATATATCATCAATCGTTTAAATTAATGTAACATTTTAATTCATCAATCAAAAGAATACATACCTTCGAAGTTGTGCAACTGAATGGATGGAAGAATTGAATTGTTTGTTGTGAATAGAAATTTCTGAATTTAAGTGATTGTTGGAATTATACCAACAATCGTAAAAATAGAGAACAATTAAATTCATCAATCTTCAAAATTGAACAATTTTTTGATTGTTGAATATTACTGAGCCTATTATTATGAATGATTTGAAATGTTTGATGAAAAATATTCGTCAAACATTTTATTTCGTTCAAAAACAATCATCAATCGTATAAATTCATGTAACATAATAATTCATCCATAAGAAAGACCAGCAATAGAGTTGATGATCGAATTAAATTGTTTGAATTTATTTGTTTGAATTCATTTGTTTGACAATAATTACTTGAACATCAAATTAGTGAATTAAATTGTTTGAATTTATTTGTTTGATGATTATTACATGAATACCATTTATAGATTGGTGAATTAAATTGTTTGAATTGTTTTGTTGGAATTTATTTGTTTGATGATAATTTCATGCACCATATAGATTGGTGAATTAAATTGTTTGAATTGTTTTGCTTGAATTGTTTTGTTTCAATTTATTTGTTTGATGATAATTTTATGCACCATATAGATTGGTGAATTAAATTGTTTGAATTGTTTTGATTGAATTGTTTTGTTTGAATTGTTTTGTTTGATGATAATAACAATTCAGTTCTGCGCGCGCAACTAGAAGGTGGCGCCTGGGCACTCCTGGCCAATGTAAAACGGAGAAGTAAACTAAGTTTTGGCAACAGTGTATTTGCTTTCATTTGTCATTTGTATTTTGTTTACGTTTTTATATAATTTCCAATCATCAATAACCTAAAACAAAATAATCTTCGGAAATCTGAATGTTCTTCCAGTTTTCGAACTGTGAGGTAGTTATTTCTATTTCCAAGCCGAATAGCAAATAAACAAAATAGTTGAAATGATATAGATAAAGGATTGATCTGAGGTAATAAAACTGCCCTTTGGATGTTCATTTCTCCTGGATTTTTGACAAAATTTCTCTTATGGCTGAAATGAGGAGAAAAATGTTCAATATACTGCTCAAAATTGGGAAACACATAACGCAGTAGGTCATCTAGGTATGTTTGTGAAGAATCTTTTTGGTTATGACAGCTTGTAGGTTCTGATTTTAGGGCTAGCAAAACGGTTCACTATAAATATATTATATATATGGAAAAGACAGCAATACTTCTAGTGGACAGTTCAAAAACATGACAAGTGAGCTAAGGAAGAAAATAAATATGTTCATGATGGAACACTGCAGCCAGCACAGGTTTTATCCTATTCAACACCTAACTCAGCACTTCTTATGTACATACAGAAATGCTGATTGTTATTTCAGCAATGCCAATGCATAGTACTTCCATAGAAATGACTATTTAGAGGCCAAGCATAAGGTTCAAGGATTAAAAGGTTAATTCAACAGTTTAGTTTCCTGATACCTATTTTGTAATTCTCAGCTACTTATTAATATTTTCAAGTCAAATAGCAGAGTTACTTTTATAGCCTTGCTTATGGCTAAAGGGTAATGGGAAACTATCTTGATTTTAGAGCTATCAAAAAGGATTTACAATGAATATAATTATAATATCTATACCAAAGGCCACATTACAACTAGTGAAGAGTATGGAAACACTACATGATATTATGACAACACAAATGAGTGGGCCTCCAAGTGATCTCAAAAAGGAAATATGTTCATGATGGAACACTTGTCTAACCCTTATTATAGACATACTGATTCATAAATATAATAGGCACCATTATTTTTCCTCAATAAAAACATTCTAGTGTTGCATTTTTTGATGTCTTTGTGGTCTTATTGTTTGTTACTTATATTTTCACTGGGTTTTTCATAATTTATCTATTTGCACAATCTTCAGCAATTAGCTTTATCATTGAGATAAGTAGAACACTTTTTTTTTGTGAAAAAAAAAGAAAGATTAATTATTTTGATGGGTATACCTAACTGATGGAATATGTGGAATTATTCATTAGATACCCTGTGAAAATATGACCAATATTATCTAATCATAAAAACAAATAGTTTCCAACATATTTATACTATAGATTTTTTTTATAATATAATTTACTATAATAATTCCAAGGTAAGTATCAATGTTTTACATTGTAATATTCTTGCACCTTCACATGAAATTTGACCAAAGATATTTCATTAGGTTACCAAGTTACTCCTTTGGAAAATTTTCAGGGTTTGTAGGTCTCCCTCTTAGTTTATCAATCCTCATTATCAGAATTTCCAAATCAAAGGCAGAATTCAGGATTTCTTGGTTCTGCTTTGAGTACCTAAAATCAACTCTAATTAACTTTAAAATTAATACAATTCCAATTTATCTATTTCACCTGTGGCAATAATTAATAGGCTTCAGTTGCGAAAAGAGGCATGACAGTCTCCGATCTGAGAATTGAGTTAAGTAGGTACCTATGTTGTTGAATTTATTCTCAATGTTCTAGTATATGTATTGATTAACACCCTGTATAGATATGGATCTAGAATGCTCCTGTATATTCAACTGTTAGTTGTTAATTACGAATGTGTCAGATATTCAATTTGACAATATATTATTTTCTATCATTATTATTTAGTGAATTCATCATTCACTGTATTAAATACTGTTGCTGAAAACCGTGTCTCAGTGATCCTCGCAACAGGTTATGGGCCCAGATACGACCTGTAGATACGGCAGATAAGAAAGAGTAGAGTCAAAATAAGTATCACACCTTCTACTAGTACTTGCAACACGATACAAAAATGGTAGATAAAATAGAAGTGACCAATATTAATAAGTTCGACGGTCAGAACTTCTCGCAATGGAAATTCCAATTGAAATGTGCTCTAAGAGCAAAGGGATTTTTTGGAATAGCGGACGGTACGGTGAAATGTCCAGCTTCCCCCGCTGACACTGGAAACCTGGTCGAAGAAGGATGCACAAGCAATGTTCCTGATAACAGCTGCCATGGATCTAGCCCAAATCACTCTAGTTGAAAGCTGCAACTCGTCAAAAGAAATGCTAGATCGGCTCAACTCGATTTACGAGCAGAAATCAGAAACTAACAAGATGCTAGTGCACGAAAGATTTCACCAGTATAAAATGAACCCCAATGATTCAGTAGCCCAACATGTTTCAAAAGTAGAAAATCTTGCCAGACAAGTTAAGGAATGTGGAGAAACTATCAGTGACACGGCTATCATGACTAAAATTTTGAGCACTTTGCCTATGAAGTACAGAAATGTTCGACAGGCCTGGTTGTCACTCGACGAAGGTAAACAGACAATCCACAATCTAACAGCTCGTCTTCTTGACGAAGAAGCATGTTTGACTTCCTACGAAGAAACAGAAACAGCTCTAGCAGCAGTATCGT